ATACATACATACATACATGCATGGTACATGTACATAACTCGGTGCATGCTGTTTTCTCCGATGCATGCGCGTGTACCTACTCTCATGCATAATGTAGGGGCCCAAATAATTACCCATGCTATTTTTGGGTTCTGTATTATCATTATAGTATAATGGGCCCCAAACCCCTACTCTAATTAGTAAGGCCCTGTATGGAAATCAACAGACTAGCAAGTAGTAGAATTAGAGTGTAGGGTTTAGGGTTTCGGGTTTAGGGTTTCGAAGACATGAAAAATAGATAGAGAACGAAGCAAACAAGCATGCTCCTCAGCCAACTACGCAGTCAGCCGTTGAATAACTAACTAAGCAAGATGCACGAGCAAGTAGATTAATATGAGTACATGCAAATGTGCGTGCGTGTATATATATATATATATATGTATATGTATACACACATACACATACCTACATACATACCCTGTATGCATAAGACCGCCTACCTTGAACTCTTATCATGCACAATATACCCTCACGTGAACGCGAAACCCTAGACTACACAAACAGCCTCAGCCCCATACCGCGTCAAATGAGCCTGCTTACCGGCTACCCTGATTTGGTTGCCCAGCACCCCAAAAGACTTATTCTTACTATTACGGACGCTATTAGCAAACCCTGCTGGAGCCCTTTACAAGGGAACCGATCAAGTAACCCTATTATAACCCCTATACCAAGAGCCCTACCGTTGCCCTAACCCCTAAACCCGAAGCCCTACGCCCTAAACCTCACATTCGGCGGCGTTCTGGCTGTAACTGGGAGGAAAAGAACCGTGAAAAGCAATTCTTACTAAACCCTCAACCCTAAACCTAAACCTCACCTTCGAGGACGACTCTGGGAGGATGATGTGGGCGGAGACCGAGATCCAAGTCCTGCGAGGCATCGACTTGTGAGGCCAAGCAGGGCCGATTTTTGGGTGGCGGAGGAGGAGGCTTTTTGAATCTCATCCCCTGAGGCTCAGGCTCGGGTGTCATAGGGGGCCTGACTCATTATCAGTGCCGGCTCCTATGCTACCTGCGCCTGTTTCAGCATTCGGTACACCGGTAGAGGTGTTTTGGCACAGCTGTTTTGGCACGGCCGCACAGAGCATCCGGCCCTGTGTGCAAAAGCCGAGGAACGTTTCGTTCTGGCTTGCCACACCCTAAGACTCCACGGTTTAGGGTTTAGGGTTTAGGGTTTAGGGTTTAGGGGGCTGACGTAGGTACGATTTATCGACTTAGTTGGATCCCGAAGTAGGTCGTACTATTTGTATGCTTGGAGTCTTAGTGTCAGAGTTCAATATATCTGTCGAATTGAGCAGAATTTGCAGCCTTGTAGGAGTCTGTACTACTTAACCATCAAAAGCAACTCTGCTCAATCGAATTTTCTTGACGCTTGATTTTTCAAGTTTGAGGTTTTCCCACTGAGGCCGAAGTCTTCATTAAACGAGCACTGCAGAGGGAGCATTCAACCACTGCCCTCTTTGAGCACCTTTCGACCACTTCAGAAGTCACGGGACCTGGCGAGCCTCTGGGAGGACTTCGGGAGGAGTCCAACGTAGCTCATCAGTTCCGTTCCAATAATTTTCTCAGCCCGCGGGCCTTCCAGTCAGGGGAGGCATGCGAGGCGGCTCAGATTTCCAGCGGAACGAACGAGGCAATCTCTCGTTCCTCGAGGGGACTTTGTCTACTCGCAGGAGGTGGTTTCTAGTGGATACTGATAGTGTTAGAGCCTAATGGAACGTTTCGTTGCAGCTAGAGTGGCTATTCGTGAGTGTTTTTGCTAGTTCCCTAAACCCTAAACCCTAAACCCTAAACCCTAAACCCTAAACCCTAAACCCTAAACCCTGTCATGACGAAGGTTCCCAGCAGCTTCTAGGTCGTACATCGGCCCATTCCTAGAGCTCTGTTGCCAGTCGCAGTTACCGCGATCGTATGTCCATGTGCCATGTGCCCTAAACCCTGAACTCGACATCGATCATCCTAAGTCATCCTAAACCCTAAACCCTA